CTTATTTAAATAAGTTAGTAAACTATTTCAGTGATTCAGTAAAAAAAAAAGTGCAACCTATAAATAATAGACAAAAAACAAAGAGTAGAAACAAGGATTACCTGATATTTTTTAAATAAATAGTTTGACTCTAGCTTTTTTTTTTTTTTAAGAAATTTTTAAATTTCTTTAAATATTTCAAAGAAATTAAATTATAAAAACGTACCCTTTTCTTCCAGCTGATAAAAGAGGAACAGCTTTCTTCAAATCCTTAATCCCACTTTTTTTGCTTTCGTCGATTATTCGTCCTCTGCCTCTCCAGACCTTCTCTCCCTCCTCTTCCTCTAATTTACTTTCTCATTTGAGCGTTGAACTTATTCTGCAACGTTTTTTCTGTGACTGTCTTCATCCGGTGACTCCTCCCTGTAGTTGTGCGGAACGTGATTGGACAGATCCCTTATCCATCTTTTCCTTATAATTTGATTGATGATGAAGATCAGGTTGAGGGTACTGAACTGAATTATTTTGTTGCTGTTTTGAATCAGATGCACAGAAAAAAGAAATAATTAAACTCATTTCGTTTAAAAAAAAATGACACCAGGCCTGTTTTCATGAGCTAAGGCAGAAGATTAGGTTTTTTAATCACCAAGAACATTTGCAGCTGACACACCTGAAGTCAGAGGTTGGGGGAAAAATTATCCATCGAAAATGGGGATTATTTGATCTCTCTGAGAATTTCTGATGTATATTAAAGAGGAGAAACCTGAAAATACAGATACCGATGTGCAAACCCATGCTGTGATCCCAGAAGACTACTGCCTCTGTGAACTTCTTATGAGGAGATGAAAATATTCGGTTTGGAAAAGATAAAGAACTGAGGAATTTCTCTGGATCCATTATAGGTGTGATAGAATCATAGTGACAGCCAGAAGACACAATAGTAATAGCTGCGGTGAAAAATTCTAGGTAATTTAAGAATAAAAAGCATTTTAAAGTAACACATTTTCTTCCTGGTTCTGTCAGAAAACATCAGAGTGAAGCTTGGAGGTTTATCTATCCTATGCCCTTCTAAGATTTAACAATAAAACTGACTTTACAGGGAATTTAACCAACATGATAGCATTAACAATACGGAAATAAACAGCTTTTACAGGAAGGCTTTGTTGGCTGTGAAGTAGTTTAACAATGGACTTTTAGTTTTAAAAAAAATGACTGAATGCAGTCTTTTTATTTTGTAAATTGTCCCTCCTTTAATGTTGTTTTAATAACTTTTGAGAAACATATTAGATCCTCTAAGACTGGCTTATGGATCATGAAAACTCCTACAGTGCAGAATTCTGAAATTAAAGTCAGATTTTCTTGAAAGAGATGTATTTGCCTTGATTTGTTTAGACAAGTGAAACAATTTGCTAATGGAACAAGATGCTTTATATTTCAAATTATGAAAAACAAACCCTCCGGTACTTTTTTAATTACATCCTATTATCTTAGTTTAAGAACAGAAATGCTTTTTCCATTGACAGATTATTAGATTATATGCTGAAATTGAGGGTAATTGAACTTATTTTAATAATTTTTTATTTATTTTTAGATCAGTTTTCCATTCTAATTCAATATCTTAACAACTAGAAAACCATAAACTCATGCTGCCACGACCTAAATAACTAAAACTTCTGCAAAAGCCTCTAGATCAGGGGGAACCAATTAAAAATCAGCGGGGTCCGAATAAAGAAAATCAACAACCAGTAAAGGTCCGGAGACATTTGTAATTATAATCGGTTACTTTAAACAGAATTTAACACTGAAATAAAATTAGGTTTTTATGCATCCATGTTATACATTGACGTTTTGAATAAAAAATAAAATATATACATTAGTATTTCAGAAAACCTTCAAAGACCCTGAGATGGTACTGCCTGGATTATTACCAAAAGATATTACTGGTAGAGGAAGAAAATTAACTTCTACAAATATTAACTATTGCGGCTCTTAAATGCATCACAGTTAAATGGCTGAAGGCTGACCCGCCAACGTACAAAATGTGGATTAAAAAGGTCTGGAAAATCTATCATGAGGAATAAATAACTTATTGCCTGAGGTTTCAAAAAGACATATTTGTTAATAAGTGGAAACCAGCCATAACCATAATTATGCAGAAAACCCTTTTTTGTATTTCTTTTAAATATATATATTATACTCCTTTATCTTCACTTATTATTTTATTTTTATTTCATTCATATATCTCCGTTTGCGCTGATTATTTAATTACTACCTATATTTATGTTTGTAAGTTACTCATGTTTAACCATGTGCCTTACTTTACTTTTACGTTTAACCCGATGCATATACTTTCAAAGTTTTTTTTTTTTTTGAAGTGTACTGTGGTTGCTTCGTTCTATGCTGTACAGCCTGCAGCTCTGCAGCAGGTGTGTTTTAACACGTCAAGACAAGAGAAGACTTCTGCAATAACCTCGGAGAAGCAACAAAAAAGGTTTTGTAGGGTTAATGCATTAAAAAAAAGACATGATCATCATCTGCCATTCTTTATTATGCTCGTTCTAATGAGATTTTGTTCGTTTTTTTTTCAGAACGTGTTTGAGACTCTGTAACTGGAGAAAGTTTGCATTTGACAGCATTTTGCTGGAAACTTCATCTGCAGGGAAGAAACTCCAATGTTGGGATGAAATGACCTGAAAAGTTTTCGGTTTCAGTGTTAGGAGGTGTAATCACACGCAGACACAGGCGCTGTTGGACAGGCTTTCTGTCCTCCGGGACCTGGTAGACCTCCTTCCAGTTTTGATGTAGCACTAATTAGAATATCAGACGATGGCGACCTGTTAACAAGTAATCACTGCAGCTCACTGACACAGTTTAGGAGCAAAACATCCCAGAGGGGCAGCGCTTCAAACATACCACCTTTTCACCATCCTGTGGCGGGGGATTGTGTGTCCTGCTCCGACGTTGCCGGATCGTTTCTTTGATTAAGCAATTTGTGTCTGCATTTTAAGGAAAGAGAAATAAAAGCAGGAAAATATCAAAGTACTTTATTTTGGTACCTGCAAAGCAAGCTTGATTTTAAAAGAGACAAAACAATGAGAGACTTTGACTTTACATGAAAACTCAAATGTTCAAATCTTTCAAATGAGGGGAAAGTTTTCCCTTTTCCGGGTCAATAAGATGAAATTCTGGTCCATTCCTGCTCTCAGAACTGGGTGATCGGCTGTAACAGAATCCTGCAATGACACTCACATCAAAGTTCTGCAATGGCCACATCAAAACCATGACTTTGGTGAGTCAGATTCAAGTTCCTGGTCGAAATCTTAAGATATATCGCTGTATATGTCTCTACCTTTATCACATTGCCTTTCTTGTTTTGTGCTTGAGTTTCCCGTTTCACTACTTTCTCCTTTGTCTCTCAAAGAGATAAAGGTAAAAATATTTATTGGTAATATTTTCAAAAGATTCAACATAGGGATAGGGTCCATGATGGTAGCATGGACCCTATGCTGGGCCTCCAGTTCCTGATCATTTTTCTTTCATGATAAGGCTTCAAAAATGCAAGAAAATGGAACAATGGTAGTGATGGCTCCCGATCACTGGAGAACTGTAAACTTAGAGCATCGGGTTTGGTGTTTTTATAACCAGGTAAATAAGAAATGAGAAAATCTTCTTAAATAATATACTGCAAAGGTGTTAGTGAGACCATGAGGCATCATTAAATACTCAGAGTGGCCAAGAGATGTTTTGAAAGCTATCTTCCTCTCCTGATTCTGATCAGGTGGTAGCGATTATGGAGATCCAGTTTGTGAAATAACAGAAGCCTTGGACCATGAGTGAGTCATGAGAGGTTCATTCACCTTTCCAACAAAGAAACAACCTACCCCTACATTAGAGGTTGAAGACCAAATGTTAGAAAATGACTCACTGATGTACCGACTATCTCTTTCAGGTTTTGAAAATCTATACGATCTACTTGGTGAAATGGGAGCTCGAGGGAGAAGATCTATAGCACAAATGCATAGATGGTGAAGCAGATTAGAGAGAGCTTTAGATTTGCCAAAAACTAGATGAAGATCATGGTAGGCAGAAGGAACCATAGAGAGATCATCCAGGGTCTGTTCTTCACAAAGGCTGGGAGAAGATGCCACCTACATAGCTAGTTTACCATTGGTTTCTCTAAAGCCCCGTCATACCATGACGATTTAGCCAGTGTATGCCCGATGTCACAGAATCCTCTAAGTCTCTGGCATACGCCGAACTTTCTGTGTATTTTTTCAACTTTGGGTGTAAACATAGAGTATTCAAAAGGAGTTCAGAACTTATGTCCAATGACAGCCTAACTTACTGAGCGGGGCAGCAATGCGCCTGGAGGCGCCCAGTCTGCGTATAAAGATATCTTTTATCTGGTATTAACCTAGCTGCCGATTTCTGCCCGCCAACAAAAAATAACAATTAACAAATAAATAAAATAAAAAAAGAAAAACAAAGAAAGATGGTTTGCAGTCACAGCAGATCATCATGTCTGCTAGGAAGTGTGCTGGTTGTGGTCATGGGCGTGAATGCAGGGAGGGTCAGTCACATTCACCGTCTCGCTCACTGTAGTGCAAACAGTTCCCCCTGTGAACCCCCATTTAGACCAAAACGCTGCCAATAGGCCTTTAAACAGTAGCTGGAAGTTAGAAACACTTTTAGCGGTCATCTGGAAGACGTCAAATACATTGATATTCATTGGAGATAAGTTCTTGATAAGTTACACATACATGATGTAGAAGTTACTGATAGGTTTTGGATAAGCTAGACGCCACGACTGGTGAGTAACTTACAGTTAACGTATAGGGCTTGGGCGTCATGACGTAATTACTTTGCATGGCCGCCATGTTGATGGCCTCCTCCGGTCCCTGGCTTCTCTATTTAATGTGTCCCGGTAAATTCCAGATCCTTTTCAGGATTTTAAAATCTTTATTCTCTCTACTTCTACGTCTCTTCTTTCCACAACAACGTTGTATCAGAGCTATGTTTATGTTCGCGTAGCCCTCAACATGGCTGCCACATCCCACAATGCAACGCGGATCCCAAGCCCTATTGGATTGAGGTTTTTGAGGTCCCAAATGCAGAGGTGAGGAGGTAGAGGGTGTAGCAGTCTAGCCAGACTTTATTCAGACGACACACTCAATGATGATAACTGATGGACTATGGTGGGGTATTCCAACCCATTTATTCATCAGAAATGGAAATACACCATAGACACACCGTAAGAGCTGTAGATAAACAAAAACAAATTACAAAATTACTCCACTCAACATAGGATAAATACCATGAATTCATTA